CCAAGGTATAATTAGCCATCTTTTTAACTCTAAGAAGCTTAGGTTAAGAAAAGTTTTCTAATACAATTTAAAGATGAGCACAATTCTGAAAGCTTTTAAAATTTACTTTTTAAAATTTCTGTCTTAAAATAATGGTGAATGAGGTATATAAGGTGATTACAGAGTAATTGTATGCAAATAACATGTTAATTTTTGCCTAGAGTTATTCCTTCCAAAATAAAGAAATTAGAATCTAGGAGACCTTCTCCTAAAAGATATTTTGAAGTTGAGTGTTTGAGGTAAATTATTTTTTTAGTAATGGAAGCATTCAAGCATTTGTTACAGTTCATTAGCAAAAATTGTGAATAAAATTTGGAAATGAGTTTAGTGTAGGTAGGTATTGTGGTGCTACTGGTAGAGTGGGTTAGAAAGGCTTGACTTCATGAAGTGATCCTGGTATTTTGATTTGTGGTCTTAGCCATGATACCTAAATTCTGTTTAGTTGCATTACAGTAAAGAAGGAAATAGGCTTTCAGGGACAAAGGTGGGTTTTGAAGTATTGTATAATAGGGAAAAATTAAGCTAAACAGCCATTCTTCTCCCTTGCTGGTAGGGAAGGCTGGCTAGTCTTCATGCAGCTGTGTGTTCGAGTAAATTCTTGTAATAAAAACTTAGGCAATTGACTTAGAACTCTAATTACTATTTCTGCTAAGGAAACTGTAATTGGAATATCCTGGATATTATTTTTGTAGTTGTGCTGTAGGTTGTTTTACGTGGTGGCTATACACCCAGAGCTCCAGATTTCTCATGGAGTGATTTCCAAACTAAGAGTGCTTGGTGTTGGAATCCAGAGGAAGACTTAAGGACTCACAACAAAAAGAACTTTCAGTTCTTGCTTCAGCTCAGTCCTGTGTTATTACAACAGGCAATAACTCTTGAGGCATAAATTCAGCTCTCTTGTCTTCATAGACTGTCATCTCACTCTGTATACACAATGCTTTGAAAAATCTAATTCCAGATATTTTTTGCTGTACAAGTAACACCTTAAGGGTTAAGTACAGAAAAATGTTTTGTAGAACCCTGCTTTGCCATTTTGTTTAAAATTGGTTATATGGTATTGGTTGTATAAAATATATATGAAAAAGTAATATTCTAGAAAAAGTATTTCCAGGAATTAAGAGTGGAAGTAGATAGGATTGGTTGACTTTATGTCTGAAAATGAGGTATACGTCAAAAGACTTTCAAAAGCATATTGACCATCAAGTTTGCAAATTTTTTTTTGATGAAGAGAGTCTCTGTATGACATGCATGAAAATTGGACACACACCTAGCGGTGTATGGTTTGGGGTTTTTTTTTTTTTTTTCTTATGTTAAAATAGAGTTCCTCTGCTGTGAGACTTTGTAAAGTTGTTTTTGATAGTGTGGTAGCAACCACCTGGGTCTAGACATCTGCACTGGTGAATTAACTTGTATTGCCAAGCTTGAGTAGAAGGGAAAAGTAAGTCCTGATTATTTTATAATATTGAGACCTATGACAGTTGGAATATCTGGTGATCCCGTTGCCCACTTTTTCATGGGCATAGTAATGATTGAGATTCTAGTGCATGATGATGTGAATAATTGCTTAATTATAGTGATGAAGGCTATTGTATTTTCTGCCTAATAGAAGTGTTTAGAGCTTTTGCAGGTCTAAATCTCTATTTAAAGGAACAGATTGGGCAGTGAAGGCAAACTTCTGAAGTGTGAAAAGGATGGGCAGATGTTAATTCAGTATTTGTCCATTTGATCTTGTTTATCTATATGACTTCTGGATCTGGCTAAAAACTGATTAGGCATAGCATTTTGCAGGTAACTGGTCAATGTGTTTATCAAAAGTCAGGAGGAAGGGGGAAAGGGAAGTCATGCTTTTTGGGTACTAAGCAGTTTTGAAACTCATGTTTGCTTTATGGTGATCTCTTCCTGTTCCCCAAGCTCAGCTCTTCTGTCTATGGTAAGACTGAATGTGTTCTATCTATGCTTAAGACTGAATGTGCTGTCCTGTCGTTCTTCTATTTAATATTTGGGAGTGGAGGTTTTGAAGAAAAAATAGCATGAGTTGGAACTATCTAACAATGTAGCAGTTATTCAGTGCATTTATTATATGTGGAGTCTTAGACCAGTTTTCTTTCCTTATATTGTCATGATTTATGTGAACGTTTTTGCTGTGTGTAAATCTTGTGAATCTCTAGACAGAGTGTCATAGTTACCACATTTAGTTTGATTAGGTCAAATTGTTCTGTGCAGCAGTTGTGGTTTAGATAATCCATGTGTCACACACAAGGTTAGGTATCCCCTATTTGAGAACAATATAGGCAGTAGTCCTGCCATTGCTTTGTCTCCTAGAAAACAGTGATTCTTGTTGTCCAAGACTTCTCCCTGAAATGAGATGGATGTGCTGAATACATACAGTTGTTTCCTTTTTGTTTCTGTAAAGGGATAGCGTTGACCTGATGGTCTACATGAGGGAATACCAAGTAGGTCTTGCTTCCCCCCTTGTGTTTCTGGAACCTGACTTTATGTATGGAATACATAGGTCTCAAATTTGCTGGATATTTCAGAGATGTTAAAACTTTCTGAACCCTTCCCACTTTCCTGAATTTTCATTTGGAAAACCTGATACACAGCAGAAGTTCACATGCCACTGTGGTGGGGCTGACTCATACTAACATTAATCATTGGCACAGTTGAAAATGGGATGTAACGAATTTTCCTGGGTATAAAATCAAGACTGGGTGACCAGTGTCCTATTTTTAAGCAGGAGCTTGGCTTAATGAGGAAGTAAGGGGATGTTCTCCACCTGTGTTGTGTAGGTAACTGAGCTACACAAATACAGCAACTCCCTGAATTAACTGGGAATTTTACAATCTGATCTGTTTAACTCTGACTTTAATCGGAGTATCTTTGATATGCATATCAATATGGGTGCGTTGTTTTTGTTTGGTAAGCTCTTGAGCTTGTTGCAGTTCGCACCATAGGTATTTGAATGCTTCCCCTCCCAAGCTATCAAAGACTCATAAGGTGTTTCTAGAAATGTGTTCTGCGGGTCCATTTCTGTGCTGATGCATCTCTTGACACAGCTTGTTAGTCTGTTGCTTTTAGGATACTGTTTGGGATCTGTTCTCTGGGTTCATTTCTGTGCTGATGCATGTGTCTTCTGTCAAGCTGTTCTTTAGTTTTATTTTCTTAGATATGTCAGCACTGAAACTTTAAGTCAGGAAAAGCTGGCTTTCGTTTTCACTCTAGGCAAAGAGTCAAATTGACTGGGGTCAAATGAGTTTTATTCAGGATGGATATTAGGATTCCTTTGTGAGAGGAAAGAGCAGAAATTCTGTAATGCAATGTTCCTGATCCATGTTGAACAGACTGTCTTGGATTGTAAGAGTAGCTGCAATCTTACCCTAGCAAGATTGTGCATAGTAAAAAAGAGCATTTTTTCCATGTGATGACTCATGCCTGATTCTGGGGCTGTTTCTGGCCTTTAACTGATTTGTGCAGTCAAACATGTTTCAATGTTACTGTCACTTCTTATCTGAATGCTAAGTTATATGTGCCACAAATGTTATTTAACGTAACAGCAGAACGTGTTCAGGTAGCTTGCTTACTTGCCTCTTACTTTTCCAGGAGTTGTTTTGAGCTACTGCTTTCAATTCCTGAAAGTGAATTGCCGCATGAGGTGTGGTTAGGATTCCATCAGTCCATACAGGTAAGTGTTCTGAATTTCTTTCTTCCAGTTTACTCTTTTTTTTTTTTTAAAAGAAAGGCTGCTGTTGTGCTTCTCTTCTTCTACCTTTCCCCTGAATTCCACCTGTCCTGCATTGCTGTTATCTAGACAGCAAGAATTTCTGAGCAGCAAAAGACTAACTGCAACAACAGTATTGGCAGCCTTAAGCCCAACAGCAGATTTATAACTACACAATCGATGGCAACTGCAGCAAGAGAACCATAGCAAATCTTGATCTGTCTAATGGTTTGTGTGACCGAAAGACTGAGTTAGAATGAGTGATGTAACAGCTCTGAAGTATTATTTTGAAGATGACTAAAAAAGCTTTTGTGGCAATCTGAGTGGCAAGTTAGTGTCTACACCTGATTTGAGAGGGATGAAAATAGTAGGACAGGTCTTTAGTCCAGGTGGTTCCTAGAAGTGTTTCTTCTGACATAGTGCTGAAACAAGCTCGTTAATACTACTATTCCTACACTCAAATGAAGATGGCTACTGTAGACTATGTAGGAGGAAGAGATGTTTTCAAGGTTTTAGTCTGCAGGTGGTACCTAGCTGTCTGCAAGGACTTGCGTTCCTCATGGAGCTGAAAGATAGTAGTGGTAGTCTTGCTGTGCTCATACTAATAGACCCTTCCAGGTCCAGGGACTGATCTGTTGCTGCTATTGCCTGTTCTGGCTTTGACTGTGACTGATGAAGTTGGAAGCTAGTATCAGTTATAAGTTATTGAAGTGAAGACTTTGTCAGGAAGTAGCTGGAAAGAAGTGAACTTAGACCTTGCAGCTGTCCTTGTGCAGACCTTATTGCAAGACCTTATACCCCTGTGACTGGGGATTTCCTCAGTCCTTGAGGCTTGGTGGCTGCTGCTGCAGTAGCTCTGAAGATGCAGGTGTAGAGGTTCTGAAGGAGTTTCTACTTTTGTTTCACCTGCAATTGGGGAAATTGCAGGTGCAGAAACTCTTCAGTAGACTGAAGATGAATAAACCTGGCACTGTAAACTGAGAGAAACAGACTAGTAGAACTCTAGTCCTGCTAGCAGTGGAAGGGACAGAGGTGGTCTGTGACTAGTGACTTCAGGTGTGGACAGACCTTCTTTTCCTGAAATACCACGGAGTACTTACTATCACAGCAACCCTAAGAACAGTTGGATGTGGCATGTACTTGGTAGCAGAAAGTGTGGTAGCTGCAGTTTAAATCCTATGGTCTTAGTGGTGTCAAAGATTTGTCCTTTATTTTGAGTGCTGGTGCGTAAGTCCTGTGACGCCCTTAGTGACTATGGCAGATCATAGTGGACATTGCAGCACTCCAGAACCAAGTTTGAAGGTGTATCAGTTTATTTTGACAATACCTAGCTGTGCCATCTATTACACATAGTCTGTGGCTATTAGCCATGGTGTTGCAGAGGCTAGGTCTGTGCTCCCAACCCATTCATTTGTGGGGATGCCACAAATAAGGGTGGTCAGCTGCAGGTTCATCTTTTGTATTAGGGCTGATAGAAGAAGTTGAAACCTACTGTTTCCAAGGTAGCTCCTAAATTCACTAATCCAGTTGTCATTAGATAAAGAGGAGTGAATCACAGAATACCAGGTTGGAAGGGACCTCAAAGATCATGTGGTCCAAACTTTCTTGGCAAAAGCATGTCTAGACAAGATGGCCCAGCACCCTGTCCAGCTGAATCTTAAAAGTGTCCAATGTTGGGGAATCCACCACTTCCCTGGGGAGATTATTCCAATGGCTGATTGTACTCATTGTGAAAAATTTTCCTCTTGTGTCTAATCGGAGTGTCCCCAGGAGTAACTTACACCCATTACAGCTTGTCTTTTCCATGTGACTCCTCATAAAAAGGGAGTTTCCATCTTCTTTGTAGCCACCCTTTAAGTACTGGAACATGGTGATAAGGTCTCCCCTAAGCTTTATGAGCTTATCATACAGTAAAAGGCATATAATAAGTTGTAACTCAGATGGCCTAGACATGAAACAAGATGTTCTCTCATATGCAGACTATGGGAGGGCATATACAGGCTTTTTCTCATTATAGCAGAGGTATAAAGCAGCTGTAAGAATTACTAGCTTTGAACTGGAGGGATCTGCAAGCAGAATTCTTGTTACCAAGGAGAATCATTTCTATGATGTAACAAGCATGCGTGTTTCTAGGTTTCTGAAGCAAGTGATCAAGCTTTAATGCTTCTGTCAATAGAGAGCAAGTTTTTAGTCTGATGAGATGACTTTATTCAGTCTGAATGTGTTGGAAAGAAACTTAAATGCCAGTGGTAGAAGGGTGATGCAAGCCCAGCTCTCATGTCAACTTTTAGAATTAAGGGAAAATTCAAGATGTGCTGCTGCCAGGTGTAGTAACATACTTGGCTTTTGTACTAACTTTTTTGAAACTGTGGCTTTCAAGTTTAGCACTCATCTAATGCTCCCCATAGTTCAGATAAAAAGCTTTGCCCAAATCTTTTATTAAACATAGTAGTACTCTGAAACCTTGCTGAAGAGGTTTGTGGACTTCTACAAACAGGTGCTTCTAATGAGATTTTGAAGTAGCACTCTTGCAGAAATATGAGAATGAGAACATTTGTACCCTACCCTGGAATACAGAGGAGCCCACTCTTCATCAGAGAAGAAGAGAGTAACGGAGAAGGAGCATGCTTTCATACAGAGGACAATATAGACCTTTAGACAGGAATCACTCGTAGGCCCTCATGTGAGGGCTCGTAGGTTTAAAGCCTGTGACCATGTTAATTTGCCAATCTCCAGGCAACTGCAGTACGAAAGCACCATGGAATTATATATTAGCACATGCCCCAGATTGACAGATGTGAATGTGCTTATTCATTTCCTAACAAAAGGGGCAAGTGTGGCTGATGAGGAATATAACTCCAAATGTAACTGGTGGTTGCAGCAAATGTGGGACAGAGATACTTCTTTCAGATCTGCCTGCAGTAAGTGTTGCTCTGTAATAATCTGCACAGGTAGTGAGAGTCAGTAAAACTTCAAATAAATTTTCATCCCAGGAGTGAAAAAGGTAAGGGCATGCATTTCAAGGCAGCAAGGTGTGGGGACTGTTCTAAAGCTGAAAATGGGGTGTCACTGATGTCCAGCTTACATACAAAGTGTTATCAAAAGCTTTATTTGGTGTCTGAACCTGTTTGTTCTTTCAACATAAATAATAGCAGTTATGCTCTGCAGTCCCTCATGAGTCCAGTTTTCCTTATCTCTAAGCAAGACCAGAGGCAGCCTGTGCAAAAGGAAAACAAGATGTGAGGTTGTATGGCAGGAGTCTCAGCATGGACTTCATACGGTGGCAGCAGGCAAAATGGTGTGGGTGCAGGTGGGGAAATGCTGTAAAATATAAGTGAAAGGATTAGGGCAGAATTACAACAGGGCCCTTGATACAGGTAAACTCAATCTGAGGCAGGAACTCAGTGGAGAGGTACTGTGGGGATGGATGTAATCTGGCCAGTTGAGGAAGATAGAACAGTGGATTCAAAGATGCCTTTAGTGGGAGTAGAGACGTATTGTCATGGGAATTGAATGGAGATTGTGGAACAGGATTCTCTTCAAGCCTTACAAAGAGCATGAATGCTTTCTTTAGAAAAGTTGTGTATTGAGGATGAGCATAAAACGAAAACTTTTGTGACACTGTAATAGTTGCTGATCGCTTAAATTGCCAGGACTGAAAAATCCTGGTACCTTCAGTAAACTGTTCCAAGGATTGTATTTTCTCTTTAACTTTGTCCATAAGCTCTTACTATATTATCCTTTCCTGGCTTCATCTAGAATGAAATGTTTTGTGTCCCTTTCCTCAGGACCTGTTTATGGTGTTGTCCTAACTTAAGGAGATCTATATACTTAAATTTTCATTAGATTTCTTCAAAGACTGTTGAAGTATTCATAGTAGATTTTTGTAAATACTTCCATTAATATTAGCCTTATATTCTTCAGTAGGTTCAATAATGAAAGGTTCAGCGAAGCATCTAGAATAGTAGTGGAGTGTATTGTCAGTAGGTAGTTACTTATGTTACATACATTGGTGAATTTCATATTTGGTATTTCAGTATTGATACCCTGAATCTCAAACACAGTGCTGACTCATCAGATCAGCTGATTTGTATAAGAAGCCCCTTCTTTCTCACCTTCTAAGGTTCTTCTTTCAGTCCTTAATACAAAGGTGCTGAAATATGAATGATCCTCATAACTGAACTGGGCTCTGCTACCTCTGTACTGCATCCTGAAGCCCTCAGATTAGGGAAGAGTTGCTGTTGGGAAAACATGGTTTACATTGGATGTCTGGATTGCAGGATGTCATAATCTGAGGGATAGCAGTCTTCTCAGTAGTAGTACCTCACCTTTGTCCAAGTTGAATGATAATTTTTTTTTTGGTCAGCTATGTCGTTCCAGCGGTGGCAGCAGGTAAGTGGTCTGTTCTGTCTTCCTCAGGCAGTGGCTTCTAGTTCCTCAGAACATGCAACTTGGTAGCAGAGGGATTTTGGATAAATATCACTAAGAGGCAACAAATCTCAGCTAGTGTACCATTACAAATAATCTGCTTGTATGGTCTTTGGCACTTGGTTGGTGAGTGCTTGCTGGGGCCAGGATGGGTATAACTCTGTCCTTTCAAAAGAAAGGGTGAGTTCATACAACCAGGTGTTTCCTGTTCTTTGCCTTTCAGAACTGTGCAGAGCTGAAAAACCTGTTTGTAGTTCAGTCTTCTTCACTGATAATTATCTTGGAGTTGCTGGAACAGATATTTGGGTGACACTGCTATATATAATATGTGCTGAGAACTCTCCGTGGCTTCCTAAAGCTATGCCTCTTGCAGTACTGCAGTACACTTAAGTACAGTAAAGCACTTGTAATTTAAGGGGCGATTCTTTGTCTCATGTTTGTTAAACTATTTCTCAACAGTAATTGCTGGGAATGTCTGAGTTATATATATATATAATTCAAATGATGCCAGGAAATGGTGTAAATTCTCAAGACTT